TCTAACTGCAAACATACATACCAATTTGTTTGGATCGAAAGGTCGTTGCTTAATACCACAGTTCCATCAATTGGCAAGCTGTGCTGCAATAAACCTTTTCGATAGCTCTATCAAGTCTCTATGTTGATCTACAGTTCTCAAAATTTCTGATAAAGTTTTCAGGCCTATAATAACATATTAGTAAGTTTTTCAACTGACTTGATTGAAATTAGCTTCAGTAATCAATACTAGGTAGGAGGTAGCATTTTTCTATTAATTTATTTAAAATTCAAATTCTTATCAATTGAAGTTTAAAAAAGATTAAATTTGTTAGATTTTATTTCTGGATTTAGCAACTTTTTTTTAAATGCTAATTGATCAGTCACATTGTGAAAATATATGACTTCAAAAAAAAGAACAAGAGATCAGGAAAGAAACTAATATCATATGTTAAAAGTCGGTCATCAATATAACAGATTCTGTATAAAAGAGTCGTACTCTGTTTCTATTGTTTTTTAATGACACTAAAGCCCTCATAAACATATGTTTGATAGAACACTTTCCATACACAGCGCATCTTTTTTCCCAGAGGCAAAGAAATAAATTTAAATTTAACTTAAAGTAATTAAAAAATAATTTTAATTACTTTAAAATGGATTCAAATTAGTTTAAATTAGTTCCAAATAATTTTAATTGGTTTAAATTTATTTGAATTTATATCAATTAATTCAGATCAATTTAAACTTAATATAGATAAGATCTAATTGAAATTGAAACAAATTCAAATATAATTTCAATTGATTCAAATCGTAGTTAAATTTATTCAAATTGAACTTAAAGAAATTTCCATTGAATTTAAACGAATTCAAATTTGTTTGAATTTATATCAATTAATTGAAATTCGTTTAAGTTTAATTTAAATAGTTTTAAATTGAATTTCAATCAATTTCGATTCGGTTGAAACTTTTTAAAATTAGCCCTTTGACAGGCGAATCTTAGATAGCCAAGTTCTGTCGATGCTGACGATGTAGTCGAATAGATCGTAGTCTAGATCATCATGCTGGAGGGTGTAGGTGTTCTTGGGTATGAATAAAAGATTCATGTTCACATCCAGGCTCATGCTCTTGTTTTCTATCTAGCACATGGTACAACAACCACATGCTATAAAAAATAACCAACGAGATCATTGCAGTAGTATAGGTCTTTCTATCAGAGTTATTGCTCCATTTTATTATAGCTCTGCAATCGAAAACGAAAAAGTGATACATATTTGTACCACCACCTATCAAAGGATTAAATTGAAACTGATTTGAATTTAATTATACAAATTTAAATAAATTTAAATTGGCTTATATCTAGTCTAGATTAAGCTAAATCCAATTTAAATTTATTTGAATTGAATTAAAATATATTCAAATTGAATTTAACTTACTTAAATTTATTCATGAAAATACAAATCTATTTAAATTTAAATTTTCGAAAAGTTATTTCTGCATTTAATGACTCTTGCTATATGTATATTGATCATGCCTAATACTACGCTCAAAACCAGAACCAATTAGTACTTGATAGAGATTTTCGATGCGATGCTTAGAATTCCCCCATTTCAGACTGATTTCTCAGCAAAATCTTATTGAAGCTAGATGTGTTACTGGACTTCAGAATGAGACGTTGCGCGAAAAAGGAAAGATTTCTTCAATTTTTAGGGCTATAAAAAGCAGACGCAATCTTTTGAGAAAAATGGTTTAAAAATTTGAATATATTGTAACTTTTAAATAGTTTTATACTGATTTTTTCACTTGCTATCTAACATCAATTGTTTTAAAGCATTCTTCAAGAGGAGTAAAGAAGAAATTCTTTAAAAAATCGTCCCAATCTTCGCGAGCGAAAAACTAAAAAGCCATTGACGAAATATTGATACTGCCATTTGAGTGGGACTATCCAATGCATATATATATATTTATATTCTCTAACTGAAATGTAAGGAGTGGACAAAGAAAATATAGCCCAGTGAGTCTTTCAATTGTCCACGGTCCGTCAGTCCTCGAAAGAGCTACATTGGAAAATGGCGCACCACTAAAAAGCCACGAATTTATCGCAGTATGTATCAATAGTTTCAAAAAATCAACACTCACCTTTTTGTCTAGTTCAGTATACATTTACTTCATATTGTGAATCATACGTTTCAGAAATCAAGCTTGCAACGTTGATTCCCAAGTTTCTGACGATAAAGAATCGCCGATATCACTAGAAATGTCAAAGTCAATATTATTTGAAAAAGATATGGGTAAATGGAGAAGATGTAAGTTTGTCAAAGCTTCTTTCACTAATATTACAACTAGCATGCTAATTGGATACTAACCAAAAGAAACAACTTCCAAGTGTGAATTCTTTTTTCGGTCGTTACTGTAGTCATTAAATCGGTCATAGCCTGTTGTGTAATGCTGTAACTTCTATTGAATATGAGAGCCTGTGAAGTTGAGTTATGAGCGTTGTTTTAATCACGTATTGATCTGTTCTAAAGCTTTAGTGAAGAAAATTAGATGCCGTGTTTTCGTTTTGAACTTTTGCACACGAATAAGTCTCATTGTTACCAAGGTTTTATCACAGAATTCAGTTCGAACGAATGCTTGTTCAAAATGTTGATTTTTCAAACACACCAAATATTGCCAATGTTTGTATAAAATATGAACTCCTAAAGAACGTAATATCTCAAGATGGAAGGATATGCTTTGACGGCAACTTTTTTCACATTCTGGTAATAATGAGACCTATCCAAAAACCTATTTTCAAATAAAAAAACAGTTCACTCGCTTTTCCAAAATGCTTTAGAATAATTCGAGAAGAGAGTAAAATAACACTTACAGTTCAACCTAAAAAGGCCCACAGATATCAAAGACCTTACCTCATCAGCTCAATGTTAATGCTCACCATCTATTATCCAGAAATGAATTATGCACCTTTTCTGTGTATTTATTTCAGAAAAGTACATGCTGTATGGATCTTCTCGGGTATTGGAATACTGTTTGGTATACTTTTGCTTTGGCTTCTTGTCGTGGGCATACCCTCACTGGTATCTACATTTCGTAAAAGCTTTAATGCAAACGTTGCAGTGGACTATAGCACAGGTTTGTCAAGTGTCTCTTTCAGCTAAATGCTAGAGCATACTGTCAGTTGAGCTATTATTGTGAAAGGTTCAGAAGTAACATGAGAAGACAGAAACAATGGAAAATTCTGTTTTCCGCCTACAGGAACATATAGTAAAAGAATCCTGATCAGAAAAGTGCACTATAAATCTTTAAAAAAAAGTCTACATCCAAGACGGATAAAAGCATTGAGCTTGTTTTAAGGAAATTTTGATTGTTTCAAATTCAATTTTTTCATTTAGTCATTCAGAAATAGTCAGTTATTAAGAAAAAGCTTGTTTTTCATCAAAATTATGATAACTCAGTTTTTAATGGTGCTTTAGAGAGAAAAATGTCTTATTTATGAAATTGAACATTATTTATCATTCGATTTTTTTTAGCTCTCTTTAAAGTTTGGAAACTGTTTCAGTCAAAAGTAATCAGTATCATCAGTATATCTCTCCGTTTTCTTTATCAAAAAATACGATTCTCATAATCCAAAAGCTCTGATGCTTGACAATGACCATCTAAGTAGTTTTTAAGAAGTAATGAACTCATAAGTTATTAGGTCTCCAAATCAGTAATTACCTCTCTATTCTACATATATCTCTCTCATTCAGAATTGAATGAATGAAAACTTGTTTGATGAGCACATTTCTTTTAACGATAATCTTAATGATGTTTCACCTAGTTTAGAGCTGCATTTGTCCGTGAGCGAATTTCGCTTTTCCCTATATTCAACATCATTTTATATAGACTATTTGAATGAGACAAATATGATAATACACATGACTTAATCTAGATCGTTCGAAATTTATAGACTTCATAGAAATCGAAGCCCTAATTATGTTCAGACAAAAATATTACTGATTTGAACTTAAATTGGAAAAGATTGAAACATCTTTGGAGTTATTTTCATGAAAACGTGGAGGAAGTCAACTAATGTTTTATACTACCATAAGAAACTGAGCAAGAAAACGCCATCAGAGCCGACTTCGCCTGTAAGTGTAGTTGATGTCCACAAGTGGATAGAGTGTGCACCTTAAATTTTACCAAACTCTGGTAAGAAAGAGTTGTATTTCAGAAATAACCCTTGACACATACTATTATCCGATCCAAAATAAAAGGCAGATTACCATTTTTCGAATAACTTTTCATAGGAACGAGATAGAGAGCTGCAATTTTCACTATTTGAGAGAGCGATGTCCGAGCTATCGATCGGTTTAGATTTCATTAAGGCGAAAGATGCTTTTTTTTATAGGTACATTTGGATCAATACTTTTTCCTTTGAGTTTTTTCACAATAATCTCAGCTGAAATCATATCACAATGTATCTCAAATCACCCTTTCTTTTTCGCCATAAAATTAACATTTGTTTTTTTTATATCTGCTTAGAATAAGAGGTTGAGAGATAGTGAAAAATGTGATCATTTTATAGCGAAAAAAGAGTGATTTGAGTTACATTTTAACATTATTTGAATTAAGATTATTGTGAAAATTGATGAAAATACTCAAAGGAAAAGTGTTGATCCAAAGGTAACTATAAAAAAGCACCTTTCGTCTTAATGAGGTCTATACTGATCGATGGCTCGGACATTGCTCTTTCGAATAATGAAAACTACAGCTCTCTATCTAGTTCCTACGAAAATTTACTCGAAAAATGGTTACCTGCCTGTTATTTTGGATCGGATAATATCTAGAGCAATAGGGATAGAGTGAATTGAGTGTTTTCCTTTTATTGAATGCTATTTAACGTTCGTAAATGAATTTTTTGTTTTGTATGTCGCTATTTTCAAGCAAATTTTTCAAATGATAGCTCAGTGTTTTTGCAAGATACTCTAGCAAATAACTGTTTATTTTGATCAGTCATTTCATATTGTAGAATCGCTCAAAATGATGCAAAGCTTCTCGTCAACTTGGATGCCAAACAAAGGTCAGAGTACGAAAATCATCAATACTGATGAGATTGCTCGAAAAGTAATCGTATTTCAACTAGTTGTCATGCATATCTAAACTAACTAAATTGAACTAAACTTTAGTTAGAAGCGGCTTATGATATCAAATCAGGCTCGATCTATATCAGTGCTATTGTGATCACTAATGGTGAAACAATTACCGATGATCATCGTCGTCGCCGTCAATTTTCAAGTGAAAAAGGTGAAATGTAGGTGTTCATTTTGCGTGACTTTTTTATGGTGTATCTATTTTCAATCTCTCTCTAACTCTGTTTCAGATCAAGCTGTGATCATTTGGAATCTCATCGTTCAATTATAGAAATGAATATTTATATAGCCTATTCGGAAAGCTGTGGTACATATAAGGCTTGCAAAGAGAATTTTGTCGATGTTATTCAAGCTCGTATTGCTGCACACATGTCAAGTATTTCGATGAAATTCAAATTCGATGACGGCAGCGCTAGTGAACTTATGTTGACCAGCTGCAAGAAAACTTTATTACGGCCAAGACGCGCTACTAAAAACACTACAACACAAGGTAAACAGCTTTATATTACATAAGTCTTTGTATGCGCGAGCACTAATAGTTTCGCTTTTCAGTTTTGAAAATTTAAACTAGTAGCACAAGTCAAAGAAATCGAGTGCTCTACAATTGTCTTCTGGAATAATGTTCAAATCTATAGTTTGATCAATGAGTTTAGCGTAGTATTTAAAGAATATTTAATACCTCAACTTCTGAGAATTTCGTAAGTCACGAAATCAGAATATGCATATGTTTTAGCATAGGAGAAATGCCTTGATTGTACTGCGTGTGTCATCTAAAAGACATTTATGAAATATTATGGGATGTCATTCCCGACTCAATATCAGTTCGACAAACTTCAGCTGCCATAGATCATGATCAAAATGTTTTTGTAAACATCTCTTTTTGAATACAATGTGAATAGAACTAAAAATGCTCACTGAGCAAACATAGTTATTCATGAACTGAACAGTCTTTTTTCTCAAAATTTTTCCATTAATGAATTCTTCCTATGATAGATTGTCAGTTATGAACTCAACAATATCTACGCGTTCCGTGAAAATGTGATATGTTTACATTTTCACTCTAATAAGTTTGCATTATACTATAAAATATTCAGTACGAAAAGTATTTAATTTTTTTACATCATGTAGAAGATTTTGAGTCACATTAATTCACAAAAATCCACCAATCAAGTGTTGCGAAAGTCATTGCTCTGTATACCAGAGGAGAAACCAGTAGAGAGTTTTCCTTAGCATTAACGTTACCGTTCTAAGAGGATAGACCGAACCAGATAGATCGTTATACTCACATGAGTCATTCTTCGTTTTTTTATCATATGACAATCAAATTAACTCCTCCAAACGTCATATCTGTGTTTCAATCATTATAGTAATAATATAATAGACTTATACAACTTTTCACTTTTTATTTCCATAAGACTTTTTTGTGTCTGGATAAGATGCTTGTAATTTGAATTTCAAGTTGATTTTTTCCCTCTTTTTCATACATAGTTTTATAAAGCGCGATTTGTTGATAATGTAAAACTAGTTTATAACATTAATGAACGCTTTTCCAAGTCGCAAAACTCTCAAAATTTGGTCAATATCGTTGTTCGCGAAAAATGCAATTTTTTTTCAAATTACACAATTTTCTTTTGTTTTTATGGTCTACTTCAAAAGCTTCGAAAAATAACTTATTTCTGACTCAGCATAAAAAAATGAGTGTGAACATGGTATTAAATTAACTCTATTCTAAAAATTGTGAATGTTAGACATTGTCTATCCTTGCTCTGGATTGCTGACGACTAATTCTTGTAAACCTGTTATCTTTTTTTCAGCTACATGATAAAGTCTAATAATTTGTTTCATTCGACTCATCGTGCTATTAGTCACCAGTGCATGCAATGTTTGCTTCTCTTTCTTTTTCTTTGTCTAAAGAAATCCGTTGTTCTAAACTGTGAGCTAGATAGTCAGAATCGTGCTCTTAATTTTCAATTTTTCTCATAAAAACGAAGATTTTACGTATTACGAATATCATATTGAAAATCAGTGACAAGAGTCAGGGCGTCTGTTATGTTTTCAAACTTTTCATAGCCTTCCTTTTTCTAATGAAAATTTTCACGCATTGTTGTAAATCGAAATTGAAAAAAATTTTGAAACCATTGGAAACGATAAAAGTGCACATCAATTAACTCAGTTTTTGACGATGGTTTCCAATATGATATCCGCATTACGTAAAATCTTAGCTTTCATGAAGAAAATTGAAAGTTAACAGCAAAATTCCAACTGTTGGGCTCACAGTTCAGAAAAACTGAGTTTTTGAGACAGAAAGAGAAAAAGAAGAAAAACAATGCGTACATTTATGGCTGATAGCACGATTAGTCGAACTAAGTAAATAATTAGACATCATCATGTAGCTGAAAAAAGACTAGATAGGCTTATAAGAATTAGTTATCAACAATTCAGAGCAAGGATAGATAGTGTTCAGCATTAACACAATTTTTAGCATTGAATCATTTAAATATCGTTTTCATATTCACCGTTTTGTGCTGAGTCGGAAAAAAACCCTTATCGGAAGCCTGCAAGTAGACAACTAAAAGTTTATGTGTATTGGGAAAAAATGTGTTTTTCGAGAAAAACGACATCCACCAAGTTTTGAGGTTTAGTAATTTGAAAGAAGTATCCATTAATGTTAAAATCTAGTTTTCCATAATCAGCAATTCACACTCTATCAAACCACTTATGAAAAAGAAGAAATAAAATCAACTTGAAATTTGAATGAAGGATGCATTACTAAAATTCGCAACACACTTCTACATGGATAAAATTGATATTTAATTTTTCGAAACAGTTTAGATAGAAGTATTATTAGTGCATAACAAATATCGTATATATGAAGTTATAAAAAAAAACGTTTGTTTCACTGGAGAAGTCATAATACATGAAGGTTTCGAATGAGCTTTATTCACGGTTGTCAGAGACAGAGACAAACATTTAAAGATGCTACTCTTTGAATCTTATAATTGGTCGTAATGAATAGGTAAGGCGATTGTGGCAGATCTCAAATAATCACCAGTTGCTACTAAATCTCTGGCTGTTGATTTCTGATTCTTCACAAAAACAGATTTATGACAAATATCATAAAAGTAGAAATTAGAGATCAAAACCGAGACATACTACTTCATTGATACTAGTATTTTCACGGTTTCAGTGACAGCGATTATTCGTTCTGGCTCAATTTTATACTTTTACCATCATTCGCAGCCTTACCGGCATCATCATTATCATTATCGCACTCATCTAACCGCAAGAGGTTGCACTGATGTAAATATGAGCACAAAGCAGACAAACACGCACACACACAGTACCAATTTCTATATTTTTTCTTAGTAATTTGAGTTAGAATCACGGCAAAATACAATCGGAAGCACATCGTAGACATGATATATACCTTAAGTTTTATCCTAGTATCCTAAAAGTAGATGACAAATAGAAGGAAGCAAAAATATGAAATCATTCAAGTTCGATACGAACCTTTATAGGTTTCGCATTATACTCTAAAGGATTCGTATCAAGTTTGAATGGTTTCGTATTTTTTATGGCGAACTTTTTTTCGTGCTGCGTTTCTCAAAAATGTTTCACAGTAATGTTTCAGAGATTATCTCCACGGAAAAAATCATTTTAGGTTTCGTAGTTCCTGCCGAACTTAAAAACTTCGCTATTAAATTATTTTTTTAGAGAGTAGTGTCTAGTGTCTGCATTTGATTGCATTTTGCTATAATTCCTACTCAAATTGTTAAGAGGAAATATAGGGATAAATATCAAACAAAATATCGATTTGACAATGCTGCAGAAAAACTTTTTGGGCTCTAATAGCTTGTATGGTAACAGATGGCCTCAACATTGCTCTATCTAACAATGAAAACTCAATGTTGATAAACTGTTACAATGAAGAGTTCTTTGAAAGATAGCTGTTTCTTTTTGAACTGGGAGAGAAAACAAAGGACAATCAAGGATATGTTGATGATACTAACTTTCGATCTCGCATAGTTGTCTTTTAGGTTTAGCATTTTAGATAAAAAGTTTTCTTTTATATTCATTGGATATCTATAAAGGTATGTTTCTTCTAACAAAATCAATTTAATGCACATAAAAGAAACTAAGTACCTTGAATTATAGCACGTATCAACCATTGTCTTTTCAGCAATAAGGAACTTCAGAACTTTATTTATAGCGATTCTCTTCTCATTGTAAACACTACTAATTTTTCATGAAAGAACAATGCTTCTCTTAATTTCATGGATTAAGTCTAATAGTGACTACTTGAAGTCTCTTGCTTTTGAAGATATTTCAATTGTTACAAAAGAATGCGGTTGTAACATCACTGTATTTCTAAGGATGAATTTTCATAAGGAAAGTCAACGTACTCTTCGTTATACGTTTCAGGCTTCAAAAGATCTTGATTAGACATATTAATCTAAAGCATGTTGCTATCGTTGCTTTTCTTTCTAAATTTCTCAGCTTTTGCAAGGGAAAAACTTTCAAAACATCTTCGTTTTAGGCACTTGTAATGCTTATCTCAAGTCATCTCAAATTAATTCAACAAGTACAGAATTTAAAACTGACGATTGTCCAACATCTCCAAACAACTATACTTTTGGCTGGCATTTGGTCCTCACTGGCTCAACATCATTCTTCGTTTCAATCAGTTGCACTTTCATGCGAGAGGGCACGGTTACTGACATGATTCAATATCCAACTAATAAGCATGCTTATGTGTTTACGCCAACAATGGATACCATCCTTAACTGTTCGGCAGTCGTAAATGGCACTTGCACGACAAATATTATATTGAGCCATGTGTGCATTCCGACAAGTAAGAAGATTCTTCATGATTTACGATGTTAAAGAAGCTAGCTCATTCTATAGATCTCATTCAAAGCTTGATGTATCAGATAAACTATTGTCACTCACAAATTTCCACATACTGAGATATCACTTTGAACAAGTGATCTGCGAATTTGATGATCTCTGATTATTGAAATTGGGACAAATTTATCATTGATGACTTACATGATCTAGAAAAAGTCAGTGAAAACTATTTAGTAGGAGTCGAGCCTGCTATTAAACAGCTGTGTGATTTAATATAGCAGCGTAGAAGTTAAAGGCATTCTTTTTTTTTTTCGAAA